TTATGTAGAAGAAGAAAAGGTGATGGAGAGAGAGAGAGAGAGAGAGAGAGAGAGAGAGAAGAGAGAATTCTGGTTCGAACTGAAAGAGTCAACATGACTTCTCCCAGTCGGCCAGTAAGTATTTATATTATTATTAAAACATAACTGAAAAGACCTATGTGCCCTTACTTAAGTTAAGAGCACTTGTTCCAACACCACCTTACAGATCAGCAACATTAATCAAGGTATAAAGACAGAAATACCCCTACGCTAACAAAAAGAAATGGAGTTACAAAGAGGGTCTCAATTGAGGCTAGAAAAAGGAAAGGAAGATAGGTAGATTTGGGTAATAGCCAGGTTTGACAAAAGTGGCAAGAAGAGGATCATTGGTGCTTCAAGAAAGCTTTTTGACAATGGTCCATCTCCTGTGAATGGCGATGCTGGCCTTCTATCTCTGGTCAGTAGGGGGCCTGATGGGAACTGTGTATCCCCAGAGCTCGGGGGAATAAGTAAGACACCTTTAGAGATTATCTGTGATTCTGGAAGCCTAGTTTTGCTGCGTTTGGGGGATGTGGCCTCTGTTGAAACAGCGAGGCTGGAATAGGGGAGGAAAAGGCTTGGGAAAGGTTTGTTAGCACTGGTATTGAGCTGGAAATTGAGGGCGAGGTTGAAGGAAAGGAAATTTCTTGTGTTGATGAGCTCGCTGGAGGACAGGTTGAAGAAGGCCTGCATTATGAGGAGGATGAGGTCAGAAGGCTGGGTGTAGATTTGGGTCGAAGGAGTAAACATGAAGAGAAGGAAGAGGGTCTGACTAATGGGATAATCCGCAAGAAACTGTGCAACTTGAGATCTCACAATATTGTTCATGCGACAAAGATCTATTCAAGGCTAAAACTCGGCTTGGCAGGGGCAGGACCTACAAAAAACATTTAAATGGGTGTACAGAATAAAAAGGTTGGGAGGCAACGGGACTTCTGACTCTGACCATAGGGGGGTGATTGTGCCAGTTCAGTCACTGGCTACCCTTATGTTGAAGAAACATCAGGAAGACAAGAGTGGTGAGGTTTCTGACTCTAGTGTGATCCGGCCACTGCTGAATATTGATGTAGTTGAGAAGAATCAAGAGGTGTGGCTTTACAGAAATTAATTGATAGAGAAGTTATGATTGGGACTGTTTTCTTGGGGTGGTGAGGAATTTGCTAGGAAGGCGTTCAAGGAATTTGAAAGAAGAAGAAAGGAAGAGAAAGAAAAAAGAGAAAAAAAAGCTCTTTCACAACGGAGAGGGGAATGGGATGAGGATTTCTCAACCCAAGAAGATATGCTCACAGATTTATCAAAAAAAAAAAAGGATATGCTCACAGATGAAGACTGATGCGGGCTTCAGGATAGGCATCTTTACTTTTGTTTAGTGTCGGGATAGTGGCCCTTGTTTTATGGGGATATGTGTTGGGTCTGTGTTTTCGTTTTTCTTTTGGGTGTTTGGGTAATATTCATGGTTGTAAGCTGTGGTTTTATTGGGCCTTTTTGGGTCTCCTGAGTTGGCTTTCATGCTTTTGGTGATATCTTATCACCTTCTGCTGTAAAAAATATTATTTCCTTGCTTCTGCATCAGCAAGCCAGCTGAGACCTTCAACTTGAGAGTACAAGTTCACCATCCAAAAAGCGGAGCCATTTCTAGCTGTTGAGAAATCTTGATCTGTCATTTTCAGGATTTTAAAAGTTCAACTCATTTCCCCTTTTCTGTGATTTCAGATTATAGGGCTGCAAATGGTTACTGATTGTCTGAATTTGAATTCGAAATCTGTCCTATTAAGGGTGATCCGAATTTGATCCCTTTATAATTGGATCAAATATTGGTCCTCCCCTATCCAATCTGATACATAGTTGCCAGGGCATCACCTAGGCATTGCCTAGATGACTAGGCGCCCTTGGATGGGTACCTTGCCCAAATGCCTTGACTTATAGCAACTAGGCACTCACTTAGGCGACAAAAATGACAAGGTGGGCACCTTATATGATATCATTTATATTGCCGTATCTTATTAATGTATGTGTTAATACATTTTATTATATGCTATATATATTATTTATACTTTGTTTTAATGTTTTACTATTGAAATTTAAAAGATCAAAGGGTTTTGAGGAGAGAAAAAGAAAGTGGAAAGAAAGAATAGAAGTATAAAGGTTTTTTTTCCTATTCTCTCTCTCTCTAATTAAAAAAACAAAAATTCCATCCTTGTTTTTTTTTTTTTTTCTATTTTACTTTCCATCTTGAATATTTACCATATAAAGTTAATATCCTTCATTAGCTGCTAATTGATATGGAATTGCTCTATTAAATACTTATTATAGTAGTATTATTTTTGAAAATAATGAAATTAATATATGTAAAGATTTTTATCTTTTAGATGTGATGATTTTCCACGTTTTTAGAGGAAATTTAATGTTCTTAATAAAGAGAATTGCTATTTTTTCAATTAATATACATGCTGAATGGTATATAAAACTGGGGAACTAGCCAAAAGTTAGTTCTTTATATTATAAAATTCTTATCGCCTAGGCGCCCCAGTGTCATCCAAATGCCTTGAAAACTATGATCTGATATAATCCAATTCAATTTGATTAATATATATATATATATATATATATATTATAACAGTAAAGTTGGTTTGAATGTTGTATTTTCACAAAATTGTCAGAAGGTTCAAGTTTCATACAAGTAATTTTTAATTCTTTTTTTTCATAAAATATAATACTAGTCTTTTTTAGTTCATTTTATTAATAAAATATAATCCTTTGATTATGTTTAGTCATTTTTTCTGAATATTCTGTCATTTTCAGGTACGTGGTTTTCTGGGACAACAGCAACTGGGGAGTGCTCTTACTGGGATGGACTTGGTTATAATTCCAGCTGGTGTTCCCAGGAAGCCAGGAATGACAAGGGATGATCTGTTCAACATCAATGCTGGAATTGTTAAGACCCTTTGTGAAGGGATTGCTAAATGCTGCCCTCATGCTATAGTCAACTTAATCAGCAATCCTGTGAACTCTACAGTACCAATTGCAGCAGAGGTTTTCAAAAAGGCTGGCACTTATGATCCTAAGCGACTTTTGGGGGTTACAATGCTTGATGTTGTTAGAGCCAATACTGTTGTGGTATGTTCTACTAACTGTGAGATATTCTGTGTCCTATTAATCTTGGTAATTGGAAAACCTTTTTGTCATCATGGACTATATTGAAGGGGAAGTATCAGGTAGTTTGTGATCTAAATATAGATGATCCACTGGTTCCATTTATATGAAACCCTTAATTATTGTCCCATAGACTTTGATGATATAGGCTTCAACAGGTTTGTTTCTTACATAACACTGTTTTAAGCACCATCAGCTGCAAATATATCTCATGTTGGAACCTGCAACATTACATCTCACAATATCTTTGCATTGTTGAAAAGGGCATCATTATTACTTTTAGTATTCCATTTTCTGCTAACTTGGGGTTTTCTCACAGGCAGAAGTTTTAGGTATTGATCCCAGGGAAGTTGATGTTCCAGTTATTGGTGGCCATGCAGGAATTACAATTTTACCTCTTCTGTCACAGGTTTGAGAGAAATTATTTTGCAATTCTGACAGGTTTGAGAGAAATTATTTTGCAATTCTTTAACTTAAGGTTACTTTATGTAGGTTAAGCCTCCTAGCTCTTTCACTCCTCAAGAAATTAACTACCTGACAGACCGCATTCAGAATGGGGGAACAGAAGTTGTTGAGGTAAAAAGTGTACTATCTATTCCTTGTTATGAACATGACATGTTATGGACATCTTTCTGACCATCTGTTGGAACTACTTAGAGATTGAAGGCCATGTTAGCCAGCACAATGTTAAAAACTAATCATTCACTTCGGGGAGTTGTAGTCAACAATGCCATATTAAGATCGGGATTGGCTTGATCTTACTCAAGTTGAGTTGGTTAATTTTAGTTTTGGCTTAGTCAGTGACACATTGAAATTGAGAATGGGTTGATCTTAGTGTGGTTGAGTTATTTAATATTAGTTTTTCACTAGGATGCTATTTGCATCAAGCATTTTCTTTCTGCTAATGTCTTATGTATGTTTTGATAGAACCTTTTTGGGCTAGGTGTGGTTCCTCCATCCAACTAGTTTCCTTTTAGTTCTAAATATCTTGTTTTTGTTGTTATCCCCATTTTTATCATATGATTTTATTTTTGGACATTGCCTTCTTACTGTAATAATGTTTTTAGTTCCTCAAAACCCAGAAACCACTTCTTTTTTCCCTAGTCATGGCTCTCCTCCTACTCTGTCTATAGACCTCTGCCCAATTATATTCTTATATGAAATACTACATTGCTGTGGTTAATGATGCTCAGATTATGGATCGTCTTACTACAATCCCATATTTTCTCTTGCTTAGTCCTATTAGCACCCCAAATCGTTTTCAACCATGATCCTTTGAATTTCAGTTTACATTCTCTTTCACTTTAATCAAGGAATTTGTAGTAAGTTTAAAGGAGATTGGGGGTTTCCCTAGATTCCTGAATTGATTCAGCTGATATGATTTCCAAATATGCATTGCAAGTTTTAACAGGAAACTGTTGGATTTAAGACATTATTAGTGTAAAAGCAGACTAGAAATCCGGATAAATTTGCTAGCAGGGCTACAAATGGCATCCGCTTCTCCAAATTCAAAATCAGTTTGGTTAAATTAAGGCAACCCAAATTCTATCTGATTCAAATTCATTTTATTGTTATACGATGCAAAATTCATTCTTAATTTATTTTAGGGTAAAAGACTTGAACCTCCCTTTAGATTTCTTCTAAATACTGAAACATCCCATCTTTTCAAATTGGACTAAGACTTCCCCTATTAGGTGACATCATTAGACAAAACTCCCCTCCATCCTAATCCGTTTGCATATGACTTCACGTACTTGTTATTTTTTTTAAATCCCAGTTTTGTCCACCCAGAAAATTCAATCAGATAACAAAAACAAAACAACTATTCCTCTGAGAATTAGAATCACCATAACATTAAAAGAATGACTTCTTCTGAGAATTAGAATCACCATAATGTTAAAAGATTGAATTAGAATCACCATAACGTTAAAAAAATGACACCTGTGATAATAGCAATGGTGGTTCCACAGCTGCTGCTGCCATCCCTATACTTCTACTGGGATCAAAAAGGTTTCAGTGAAGAAAAGCGTTGAGGTTGGTGGTGTGCTTAGGACAGCAACATCGCCTTATTCTCAATCTCCTACAAATATTAGATCGAGTTTCCAACTAGAATGCCCGCCATCGTAATTATCCTCCACAGGAGTTAATGATCACAGACCTGAGAATTCCAGAGCAAAGGAGACACAACAGAAGTTTGGGGAGGAACAGAGGCTAAAGAAATACCAACAAAGGCCAATGAGGTTGCAGCAACTGTAGCAGCCCCAGGAAACGAAAGCTTGAAACCTCAAACAATAAAAAGAAATATGTCCTCTAGGAGATTCAGAATCCTCAAATTGCCTTGGCTTTCAACCCAGACAGTCATCTCAATCCCAACTCTTACGCCTCCTTGCTTGAACATATTCAAAACCTCCACCAATGGAACAACAACACTGCTTTTCTCTCCTAGCTGTGTTAGATCTGTTCCATATTAGTAGCAGTTGCTGACCTCAACTCCTGCACCAGTTTTAATCTCTCTATACATTATCAGAAGACAAAATTTTCGGGGAAGATGGATTTCATAACAAGAATGTTTCTTTCAGTTTTCATATTGGTAAGAGGAGAATGGTGGCTAAGTTAAGAGCCTTTTTGGAGTCTCAGGTAGTCTTGAGCAATGATCTAATGGAGCCAAGCCTCTACAAGTATGTGATTGTGAGAAAGGATTTGATAGGTCGAGATGAAACAACAAGAATCGTTGGGAAGTAATAGCTTTGTGGGTCAACGTTGGGCTGCTTCTTGATGGAACCCAACTCAGTTGATTTGTGGAGGCATGCCTGGGTGACACAAATTTGTGACCTCGGAGCTCCTCTTTGGACTCCACTTTTCAGTTTCTTTGTGGTTCTCCATTTCTATGAAAGTTGTTTTTCATTTGTCACTTTGTTTGTGGCTGTAAGTATCTCGAACATTCATCGGTAGAGCCATCCCGTTCGTTTTTTTTTTCCTTGAGTTACAGTCTGTGTGGTTTTCTTTAAAAATTTAAAGAATAATGAAGGGCAAAAATGTATTTTCAATGATTCTGCTAATATAACGGTGTCTTATTTTAATAGGGGAGGTTTAAGTCTTATAATAAATATGAGGGGAGGAACAAGTATTTATGTTAAAATTCAAGGGAGGTTTAAGTCTTTTACCCTTTATTTTAGTAGGATTCTGCTGAATTAAAAAAAAAAAAATTGAAAGAAAGTAGTTTCTTGAAGAGAGAAGGAGAATAAGAGAAGAAGAGAAGTTGAAAAGAAAAGAGAGCAATAATCTGACCGCCTTCACTTATTATTTATACTAAAATAATAGAACAGTACAAAGACAACTATGCCCTTATAGGGTGGCAAAACATAAAACAGCATATATAACACTCAAAAAACATAATAAAATTTGGACTCACATAACTACAGTGGTCCCCACCTCCTATCTAACAACTAACATAAAACATCATAAAACTAATTAATCTTCA